AGAGGCTAATGATTCCATGGTGTTGCTATGGTTAGAAACAACTGAGATTGTTGCTAATCACATGATCAAGATTTTTTTAAAGCAACCAGCAACCTCTTTGGAGCTGATCTTATTGAGTAAAATAGAACAGGATAAGGATGATGGCATAATAATCATTTATTATCTAACCAACAAAGAGTTTTCAAGTTTAAAATGCTATTCTGAATTCCTCTTCTTTAATGACTCAAATATAATTGTTGTTGAATATTGCGGCCATAACTATGTTTGACATTTCTAAATTTAGAATCATATACAGCTCTGCAGTATTATACTGTGTTCTTAATCTGGTGCTCAAATCATTCTTTTATCATTTCCTAATTTTACTCTAAGCTCTTAATATTTGCCATTTCTCATTAGTCTGCCTTCATTTGATTATTATGTGTTTAGAGATTTTTGTTTTAAGTGAATTACATAAATTATTTTGTTGTTCTGTAAATCTTTGTTTCTAGAATTGTTTATTATATGTATCTTGGAAATTGTGTATGTTGACTTGTCATTTTAAGTATTAGCCTGCCTTAAGGAAGAAGCATAGGCATATGTTCTTTTGCAAAGAATTTAGTGCCCTATAGAGTGTAAGGTGAGTTTAGATGGTGCAAGTTGTTTTAGGAATTTTTAAAATAGTATTCAATTCCTTATTTAAAGAAGATAGATTCCAGTGGAAGCTCAGACAGAAGGTGACAGATTTAAATATAAAATGAAAGGATTATACTTAATCAAAATCATTTTGGAAAACTGCCAAGAGAAAAAAAAAATTTGTGCTTTGCCTTGAAGTTTACATAAGCATGTAGATTTTTATTTTTCTAGAAAATACTTAGCAGCTTATATCTTACACTGTTAGCACTAGAGACCACTACTAAGAAAATAGTATTTTGTGACTTTCCAAGCATTCAAAAAATAAGCTGTTGAGGACTAGCCAGATAGCTCAGCAGATTAAAGCACCTGCTTAGACAAGGAGACGGGTTCAGTCTCTGGCGTGCCGTGCTGGCCCCACCCCCAGGGCACACTGAGCTGAGGATTGAGACTGGGCGTGGTAGTGCCTGTAACCCCAGCGCTTGGGAGGCTGAAAACAGGAGGAATACTACAAGTATGATCTGTGTGGTGAGACCCTTTATACCCTATACTAAATACATAAAAAGATAAATAAACTGGTTATGGTATTCTAACACAAACAACAAAGAACCACAAGGAAACTTTTTAAATTATATATTCAGAGTCCCTCCTGCCCCCTAAAAATGCATATACACTTCAGAAAAAGAAAATTTTGTATAAAAATTTTAATACTAATTTTGAGATGTCATTAGATTAATACAAATTAACTTTAGTCTCTACAATTATAAAAGATGCTCAGAGTGGTGGCTAGTAGCTTCCATACACTTCATAGTACAGCAAACTGCTGCTTGGGTAACCTTGGTCATTGAGATTGTTCCACATACATTTTGAATTTCTTCTTTAAGGGCTGGCAGTGTAGTGGTTTTCCTGCAGTATATGACATCCCATCCTCTGTGGTTCCTCATGTGAGAGTAACACATCTGTTGAAAAAGCATACTATTTTTCTTTTCCTGAAGTGTATATACATTTTTGGACAGACTTTGTATATATATATTGAGGAATTTAAACATCCGTTAATAGTTGTTGAATGAATTGTAACTATGAAAATTGCCAAATGATTCTCTGATTCTATCATACTTTTTTTTTTCCTTTTAGTTAAAATTCCATTGTGAGGGTCGGCCTGATAGCTCAGTGGACTAAAGCACCTGTTTAGGCAGAGCACAGCAGCTAGGGTTCAATCCCTGCTGTGCCGTGCCGGCCCTGCCCCCACCTCAAGGGCACGCTGTGCCATGATTGAGACCGGCACCTATAATCCCAGCACTTGGGAGAGTAAAACCAGGATCTACGTAGTGAGACCCTGTAGACCTTGTATCCCCTGTACGAATTGCAAAAAAAATCCATCATAAGAAATGCTTTCTCGCCGGACATGGTGGCACATGCTTGTAATCCCAGCACTTGGGATTCTGAGGCAGGATGATGATCACTGTGAGTTTGGGGCCAAGCTGGGCTACAAAGTAAGTTCATGTCTAGCCTGTACTGCATAGTGAAACCTGTCTCAAAAGACAAAGGAAAACAGGCGGGGCGGAGGTTTCTCTTCTATTTATTTAAGTTTTCTCTTCTGTTTATTTCTTAATGTATGTATTTATATCAGTGTGGACTCTTGGATCCCCATTTTATTTATTGGGTTTTGTACCTCTTATTATATGCCTTTGATTATTTATTTTGAATTTCAAATTGCCCCCAATGTTTTGAACAGCCCTTCAAACTCACTTGTGCATCCTTATGATATCTCTGAGTAATTTATTTTGTAACATAGAAAAGCAGTTTTTAGCAAGATGTCTGAGCTCCTTGAACTAGATGAGCTCCAGCACTGAAATAAGCCGTTTTCTACAAGGATTCCTGCTTTTTAAGGAGTTAGAATCAAGCCCTGGTGTTAGGATATGTTTTTGCTTTAGAAATAAATGTTCCCAGTTCATCTAGGTGGCAGAGATAAGGAGGGAGGGAGGGAGGGAGGGAGGAAAGGAGGGAGGGAGGGAGGGAGGGGAGAAAGAGAGAGAGAATCCATGCATATTTATGTCATGTTTATTTATATCAGTACTTCAGATTGTAGTCTAATGCTGTATTATGCTAGTTTTCTCCTTTTTTGTATTTATATCTCACTATGAAGCACCTTTCTCCTTTCATCCTTTATATATGTATTAGTTCAAAGCCCTCCATATATAAATATCTATCACCATCACTGCCCTAAATGTCCACCTTCCTTGCTATAGTCAAGCACCAATGCATACCCTTGTCATCTCTTTCGGGTTCCAGCAGCACACAGCAAACTGCTGCCACTGCTCTTCCCAGGTGGATGTGCTCCCTAACCTGGTCAAGCTCCAGTATTATATGCCACATGTCTGTCTTTCCTCCCCTCCCTCTACACAGATGTTCTCCTTACCATACTTGAGTTTCAACCACATGTGCTTTTCTATTCAAGAAGTTGTTAAAAAAATATTTTAAAAAGTTGTCTGTACCAGCATGATAGTATTTTACTATATTATTTCCTAAACATCTTTATTCTCCATTATACCAGCAAAGCTTTGAGAATTGGTTTTATGTATGATGAATATAAAGTAGAATTGGTTATGTATGATGATTGGTTCATTTAATTTTGTGTGTATCTAGTTGATCCAGCAATGATTCTTTGAAAACCACTCTTTTCTCATGGTTTATTATAAATCATTACCAAAAAAATCATTTCCAAGTAAATGTGTTGTTTATTAATTTTAATTTCATAGTGTGGAATTTAGAAATTTATTTCTATAGAAAAATTATAAAAACTGGTTAATGTTAAAATATATGACATAAAATATACTATTTTAAACATTTCTAAGATAAAATTCCATAAGTATTAAATACATTCACAGTATTATGCAAATATCATCTCTCTACATCTCCAGAGTTACTTCATGCCAGAATGGGAACTGGTTAGGAATGAGAACATTAAAGAGAAAGAGATTTTATTGCCATCTGTAGTACTAATCTTAACTTCAGTGTTTTCATCTAGGTTCCTTTCTAAGAGTTTCATAATTTTAGATCCTATATTTAGGATGTTGGTCCCACTTAGATTTAATTTTTATGTATAATGAAATAGAGGTCCAGCTTCATCCTTTTATATATCAATATTGTCTCAGCATTTCATACTTTTTTTTACAAATCTTGATTGGCTAATAGGCCAAGTTAATTATTATAATTTTATTTTGCATTTTTCTATTAGGATAAGCATAGTTTCAAGTTCAGAACTATTTTTTTCCTGTTATTAGTGCTTTTTTTTTTTTTTTTTTTTTTTTGGTCTACAGTGTCCTCTTATCTATATACTTCTAGTGTTTTTCTTACATATCATTTGTGTAGCAAACATTTATGAAATAATCCATCTTAGTGGAATTTTATCTTGTTATAAAACACCTTTCTGGGCTGGTGAGATAGCTCAGCGGACTAAGCACCTGCTTAGGCAAGCTCAGGGACTGGGGCTCAATCTGCAGAACCACATGCCTGCCACTCTGGCCCCATCCCTGGGCCTGCTAAACCAGCCACCAAGACCAGGCGTGATGGTGCACACCTGTAATCTCAGTGCTGGGGAGGCTGAAAACAGGAGGATTACTACGAGTCTGAGCTGTGTAGTGAGACCCTGTACCAGATACATTAGAAAAATAAAATAAATGAAACATCTTTCTGTGTTTGTTACATCTTTTTAACTATAATTAATTCAGGGAAAATACAGTTATTAATCATCAAAGCTTATTAGTTTAAAATGCAGTTATTAAACATCAAAGCTTATTAGTTTAAATTATATCTATTTTTTTCCCCACATTTTACCAAAATGTATCTGACACATAATAGACAAGCAGTGAATATGGGTTGAATTAATGACTATATAGGCAGTTTTAGGCAGAAACTTAATATTCTTGATAGTGAAAATTAATAATATAAAACATTTTATGTGATATAAATACAATTTTGAATTTTTATGTATAGATATAGAAACATATTGTTTGCATGGTGGGCAAATAAGGCGACTTTTGGTTCTTTGAAAGCAGTCAAATACATTTCAGATGCCAGAAAATTATTTTGTAATTTCTCAACAAAACGAGGATTTTATGTCCAAGAAGATTATTAGAAATGGCATTTATTATTTTCATTTAGTCTTTTAACAAGTAAACTCTACTTTTAGCTGTAGCCTTAATAATAGATGGTATAATCATTTGTAAAACTGGAGAATGTTTTCTCATTTAAAATAATACATTAATATTTTACCTATTTCTGAATTATATCTGAAAACTATAATTTATATCTTAATGGCACAACTTTCTATTCTGTGTTTCCTTTATATTTTGGCACTTTTCCTGATTTTTGTCATTGATGATTTTTAGCCAACAGAAGCTGTACCTCCCTCTTCTCCCACTGTCCCTGTGATCCCTGTCCTGCCAGTCCCTGCTGAGAGTACTGTCATCCTACCCATCATACCACAGGTTTTTATTAGTTTCTTTTTTCTTTATAAATATTTCATTTGTTTTTAACATTTTATTTGCATTCATTTAAAACTGTTAACTGTTTTGTTGATTCGATGATTTATTTTGGCTTCAGTTATTATTTTTAGGAAATTAAATGTTTGAGATTTAATGTATATTGGGTCCCACAATTGACATTTTATTAGGCACTATGTGAAATAAGACACATCCTAAACTTGTCTTCATTGTATTGAACCTCCTTAGATTTGTTTTCATGCCTTTTGTGCTGTAAATCTCTTTAAACTTTTCAAAATACTTTTGCTTTTGAAAATTTGTACAGTTACTAAAGAGAATGAAAATCATTATTTCATATAGCACCTTGTTTCCTGGTATGTATTTATATTGGGAAGCATCTGTCCTTCTAGTTAGATAACATACTTAATATTTATTTATTAAAAATAGCTGGTGATGTGTTACAGTGATAGCCAACTTTTTAGAGCTTTCAGGGATATTTATGGGATGCATGCCACAGCATACTATTTGTTATTATTGAAAGCTGTAGAAGATTCAGACTCACAGGTCTAGAGTATATGATAACTCTTTCTGTTATCTTAACTATCTGGAAATCTACTTAAATTAAAATCTTTAAAATGTTAAGGGCCGGGGAGATGGCTCAGTGGAATAAGCGCTTCCGTGGCAAGTGCAAGGGCCTGAGTTCAATCCCCGGTTCCACAAAAATAAAAATAAAAATAAAAATAAAATGTTAAGGGCCAGCCCGATAGCTCAGTGGACTAAAGCGCCTGTTTAGGCAGAGTGAGCAGCCAGGGTTCAATCCCCAGCATGCTATGCTCACCCCCTGGAGAACGCTGAGACAGCAATTGAGAGTGGCATGGTGGCGTACACCTGTAATCCCAGCACTTGGGAGGCTGAAAACAGGAGGATCGCTATGAGTCCAATCTGTGTAGTGAAACCCTGTAGACCCTGTATCCCAGTACTAAATGCAAAAATAAAATATGATAAAATAAAATGTTACATGTAACAGTGCATAAATAATAGCCAGATGTTGAAGAAGCTGATCAGTGAAAATGAAAAACTAACTCTAAGGAATATTCTCTTGACATTAAATGCCTTCCCAACAGAGATATCCAAAGTCTAATTAATGGTAATATTAACTATAATATTAAAGATCTTTGGTGTTAAATATATAAATCTCATTTAAAATATAAATACATGTATTTCACAGACTTTGCTGAAATTGATGAGCAGCATAAAATCTAGGTAAACATAGTATTTTCATTGTGTAAATGCAATTGCAAAATAAACAACATTGGGAGAAAAAAAATTGATTACTTACCTTTTAGCTTCCTTCCTGTCTACTAAAAATTGAAAACCATTAGAAACATCTATATAAAATAGAATTCATAGGAGAAATTGCCAATATGACATTGAGACTTTAGAATTATGTTAAGCCTGAATTGTAATTAATATTAATACTGCTGTGTAATTTTACTGTTGATGAATATCATTAAAATTTAAGTCTTTATCAGCCACCAGGTATTGGATAAATCCAAATAGGTGTTCACTCCATATTACAGACAAAAAATTAAATCTACAAGTAAAATATATTTGAATGAGCAAGTTAAATATTATAACATCTTTACAAATACCTAGGGTTTAATTTTTTTTTTAAATAGTAGATTTTGGACTTTAGTTTGCTCTTTATTTTTTCAGTTTTTTAATACAGTATTAGTTTCCTAGATTCCTTTCTAATTTTAAACCATCCTCTTACTTACTCATTTGGGACCCTATCCTCTCTCATTCAGAATGCTCTTGTTTATTTACTCCCAGTGTGCCTAACATAGCATCCCACTGCACTTGAAAGTTACTGAGACATTGCATTGATCCCTGTTGTTAAAAGTACAGATTTTAGAATAGGATTGACCTAGCTTAGAATTCAGCATTGTTACCACCTTGTAATTTTGAGTGGTTTACTTAGCCATACTGAGCCTCTGTTAGTAATATATAATATTAAACATTGTAATAGTACTAAATTGAGGTATTTTACAGTAATGAAGAGGCTAATTAATACAGAAGTACACAATAGCTAATAACCTATTAATACTATGTGTCTTATTTTTTTGAGACATTACACCAAGAAGCAAGTTCTAAAAACAAACAAGTATGTGTACAGAATAAAAGGGCCTATCCTTATATTTAATTTTAAATGCTCTACCTAGAGAATCAGTAATTTATATTGAGAAACTGATGTGTTTCTTATTGAGTATAATATGTATATTATAAAATTAGTGTAGCTAATTAAAAATTTTCCCCAAATATTGAAATCCGTACCTACAGATGTATAATCTAATTTTAATATAATTTAATGTTATAATTTTTCTCTGAAGAGCTCCTGTACATTGAAATGCAACTGGGGATTGAATTCAGGCCCTTGCACTTGCCAGGCAAGCACTTATTCTACTAAGCTATCTCCTTCCCCAATTTTATTTTAAAGACAATATGCTAGGATAACAATGGTTAATACAGTGCATATGTTTTTCTTTAGAGTGCAAGATGTGAGCATTTAATTGTTCAGATGATATTAGTTTAAACCTTTTCAGTGAACTGAGAAATTAGTAGTGTACTAACTATATTTTATATATTCTTTTTCTTTTTCTCTTCTTTATTTTCTCCATTCCCTCAACCCAGTTTCTGTTTCCTTTTGAGATTTCTTCTCATTTTACAATGTCTATTGTATATTTTGGATCTTGTTTACTCTTTCAGGTTTTCACATTAGGGAGACAATACAGTGTTTACATATGTGCATCTGGTCTCAAGTTGCATCCATTTACCTATAAAAGTACGTAGTTTATTCTTTTTATGGATGAGTAATACTCCATTATATTAAAAGACTACATCTTTTTAATTCATTTCTTGGGTTGATGGGCATTTCAGTTGCTTTCAGTATCTAGTTATTACAAATTGTGCTGCTATAGTAATGAGTGCACATATACCTCTGTGGTGTGATGTTTTTAATTTTTCTGAGAAGATATCCAGAAGGGGAATTACTGGATCTATTAGGACCTCCAATTCTAGTGTTTTTGAGGAATCTCCACACTGGTTACCACAGGGGTTGTAACAGTCTACACTCGCACCAACAGTGGAGAAGAGTTCCTTCCCCTACAGATCTGCCAGCATTTGTTATTGGTTGATCTTGATAAATAGCCATTCTTTCCAGGATGAGATGGATCTCAGTGTTATTTTAACTTGCATCTTTTAAATGACCAGTGATGTTGAACATGTGTACATATATTTATTTGCTGTTTATACTTTTTCATCTGAGAAGTAATAATCTCTGATGCCCAATTTTGGATTGGGTCTTTAAATTTGGGAAGTCTGGTTGTTTTGAATTCTTTATATGTTCTCCCTAGTAATCATGTGTCTGAGGAACAGCTGGCAAACATTTTTTTCCATCTTTGTGTTGTCTCTGCACTTTGAGTGGCTTCTCTTGCTGTACAAAAACTTTTTAGTAGGATGAGATCCCAGTTGATTCTTCATGATAGTTCCTCTGTGATCAGGGCTTTATTCATAAAGTCTGCCTACACCAGGGTCTTTGAGAGTTTTTATCTGTTCTATCTCTTGGCAGATTTAATGTTCTCTGTTTGAATATTTAGATCTTTGATCCATTTGGAATTTAATTCAGTGTATGATGAAAGATATTCACCAATATTAATCTTCAGCAGTGCAGAGCCAATTTTTCTAGCACCATTTATTAAAAAGGCTTTCTTCCAGTGAATGTGTTTGGTACCTTTGTAAAAAATAAGGTGGCTGAGAATGTCTGGAGTTGTTTCTACATCTACTAGTTTATTCCATTGATCTTCAAGTTTGTTTCTACACCCACGCCAAATACTATACTGTTTTTATTACCTTCGCTTTATAGTATAATTTCATGTCAAATATTGTGATGATTCCTGCCTTACCTTTGTTGCCCATAATTGTTTTCTATGCTAGGTTAGGTCTCTTCTGGTTCCAAATGAGTTTAAAGATTATTTTCTTTAATTCTGAGATATGCTATAGGAATTTTTATCAGAATTGCATTAAATCTGTGCAATAGTTTTGAAAGTATGGCCATTCTCACTGTTTTGATTTTTCCTACCCAAAAATAAGGGATATCTTTCCATTTTCTGATATCCTCTTCAATTTCTTTTTTCAGAGTACAGTAGTTTTCAATATAAAACTTTTTATAATCCTTCATTAGATTGCTTGGGTGTTTGATTTTTTTATTCAATTGTAAAAAGTACTGTTTCCCTAATTTCTCTCTCAGTTGTAATTTGTTTTCAAGAAGGCTATTTGAGTGTTGACTTCGTATCCAGACATACTACTGAATTTGGTTATTAAATCTAGTAGTTCTTTAGTGAAGCTTTTGGGGTCTTCTATGTGGAGTATCATGTCATTTGCAAATAATGATAATTTAACTTCTTCCTTTCCTATCACTATTCTTTTTATTTCTTTCTCTTGTTTAATTGCTATGGCTAAAGTATCCAGGACTATGTTAAATAAGAATGGAC